TACTTTTGTGTAACTTCTATCGCATTCTTTACTCGAGGTTGCAGTGTCTACCACGGGATTTAGAACAGGATACATTGTTTCCTGTGTGCACCAGTCTGTTTTCTACTTGTCAGTTTGAAGCTTCGGTATAGTCTTCTTGTGCAGATCCTGTTTCCCTCTCACTTTAAGCAGGAATTTCTTCATCCTTTGTTGGGTTTAATCCACTCTAGGAGCTCCCCAGTTGCTGGTGAACCTGAACTTCACTTCCTTACTCTATTGCTATAGCCAGTCATTGAAACTTTGCCTCCTCGCTGCTGGATTCTGATGGGGGTCTTGATCTTTGGCATTTTATGTTCAGCCTCCAGAATCTTTCTTCTTTCTTTTATGTGGTACCCAGATGGCCTACAATCCCTGCCTCCTTCCCAGCATGTCCTAACTTTTCCAGGCTTTTAAAAAAGTTTTTCAGAGTAGCACCAAAAGGCACATAAGAAGACTTTCTCTGGAATCAGGAGTCAAACCTATTTGGTACCTGACAATGGAACCACTTGTGGCTATTGCCTGTCCTTTCTTCTCGTATGAGCTTTTTGCTTCAGGGAGTTACTGCCAGTAAAAGAAGAAATTCAGACACCTTGTACAGAGAGGGAACCATTGACCAGGATTATCACATTATTTCGCAGTTTAGTGCCTTCCTGCCATCAAATTAGGCCTGGAGGAGCTTTTCAGTGCCCTAAAAAGCATCCTCAGTTTAACTTCTTTTTTAAAGCAGAAATCGTTTTTTTTGCCTGCAGGTGAGACTATACAAAGATTGCCATGAGGGCTCTGTGTTGTACATTCTTCCACCTGTGGCACAATCAAGTCACAAGGCAGAGCTCTATGTCTGAGGACCATGGAGTGCCTGGAATGAATGGCTTTGCATCACCTATGCACAGGTCAGGTAATCATGTGACACTTGATACTTTACCCTGGAAATTGTCACCCTCTAGCTAGGCTTCTGACTGCATTTCTCTTGCACATCTGGACTGACTCAGATATTCCTATATGGGATGGCAATGCAGCTTCCAGTTAAAGAATTGAGAAGCAATTATATTATATGTGTCATTAACAACTGTATTTGTCATCTTTTGTAACAAATTATGCTGAGACATTGAATCCAAATTTCAAGAAGCTGCAGCTTATCTTTAGCTTATTCTTCATTCAAAAGAAACTGGCATTCTCCAAAAAGGCAGTCTTCCTGTTACTTGGCTATGGACTTGATGTTAGGTGGAAAGAAGAGCTCCAGCCATGTAAGGTGTATTTGCATCAGCGTGTTACTAAGCTGGTGATCCCTGAGCAGCAGAGGGGTCAAACAGAGGTCATTAGGTGGAGGAAGAGTCCCTAGAGGTTAGAAAGTTTATTGCAGTAAAGCAAAGAAAACGTGTGCCACTTTTATCTTGTTGAGAGGTCTGTCTTCTTTATCATCCTTCTGAAACAAACCTGTGTGTCACGCTATGTGGTCACATACATCTTCTAGTAAGTTTAGTGGTACTGACAAAACTTAAAATTGAAGGCTCAGAAATGCTACTTTAGGTTAGAGTTTGAGCTTGTATTGATTGTTTGCCAGCTAAGTTGCTGTCACTAGCACAAGTAGAACTTTTTATTTAGACAACCTGAAAATACTTAAATCACAAATGTTTATGACGTAGAAGAATTTTTCCAGGACAGAAATGTGTATGTAGCTAGGTGATCACAATTAAAATTATCATCTAAGGAGTTAAAGAAGAATGAAAAAATTAAATTTAGCTGTTGATATGAAGGAAAATTATTTTCTGGCCAAATGACCAGTTTCAAGGAAGTTCAGGGGAGTTAAGAGGCACATACCATTGATTCTGCATCAGTTTGTCAGCTCCATGCCTGGCCTAGGAGTCAATATTTTCTCTTGAACATGTACATTTTCTTCATTGGTCCTTCCCACAATTTCTGATTTGTTCTTAATTATACCAAAGAAGGAAATAAAATCTGTGTCCTTGCAAAATTTTCATGGCTCTTCTTATTTGGGGTGTTGCAGGGTGTAGCTAATGCTCTGAAAAGGCTTTGGGATTCCTGGATGAAAGGTGTGATGAAAGAAGTGTATTGTTATTGTTTTAGGGGAGGAATCATGCTGCTGGGTAAGCCTCTGTCATTGAGACTTGCTGGACTTGTTTGTTCTGACTTGCCTATGACTCCTTTCTTTCTTAATTCAGGAGATAAAGCCTCAAGTCTATGCTGAGATGCTGCACAGTGTGTTGTGGTGTTTGGGACAGTGGATCTCCCAGAGAGAAGAGCTTCTTGGTGACCTCTCAGTGGTACTCAGAGGTGAGTGCCACAGGCTTCTGGGTTGCTTCTTGGTATTTTGGGCAGCATGGCTACATCGTGTGCAGATTTATAGGGCAGTTTGAGCTTCAACCGAGGGTGTGGAGAGAATGGCACTAGTTCTGAGCTTGCTTCTGATTTGATCTGCCTTTCATGCATCAGTAATCCTTCTGATATTTCAGCCTTTCTCCTCACTCAAAATGCATGTTTTCTGAGAATTCTCCAGCTCATCTACAGCACAGCATGGCAAATCAAGGTGGCCCATCTGGAGAGCAGGTGAGAGTCATCTCACACTGCCCTGACTGACCTACTGTTCGTGCTAGCATGGTTAGAATGTGTTGCAGGCTCAACTGCTGAGCTAGAGGATGAGTGGAATACAGTTGGTGAAAGTAGCTTCTTGTGCTTTTGATTATTTTCATGGACTTTGTATGCAGCCAATCAAGTGTTAATCTGTGTAGAATCAGCTTGGAAACACACCAAATCTGGCACCTGACCATTTTGCCCGCCCTGTGTTGGAATGAAAATCAAATTGAAAACTTGGAGACTATAACTGCTTGTGTGGTGTCTTGCTTTTGAAGTAGATTTCAAGAAATCAAAGGACAAAAGGCGGCAGGCAGAGCTATTTTTGAGGGCTGGAAAGCAAAGATCTATTGCTATCATCCGTGACTGCCAAACTAATAGAACAAGATACTTATCTATGACCAACACAGCTGGAAGGGGAAATCTGAGAGGTAAAAGTTACAGAAATTTATCCTAAACTGATTGCAGTGCCCATGTACTTAACATTTTCTTTACACTGAGATGGCCTCTCAGTGTTCATGCAGACTGTAAGTCTTTATGTAGTGAGTAGTCCTCCTACTTCTACTAAAACTTGTTTCAGAACATGAGAGTCTTTCTCAAGATGTTGGCTGTGGCAGTCAGCTGTAGAAAGACAAATAAGTGATAAAGGATATCTCAGTCTTTGGCATTAAAGTTACTTCCCACAGACAATTGTAGTGGTATGAGAGGCTACCTCTATCCCATAGATTAAAGAGCTCAAAACTTCCAAACAGTTGTGTGCAAAATGGATGAAAGAGTAAGGAACAGCAAACCTTTTGTGCTGATTGCAGAGGTGATTGGATAACCAGGGAAACCTGTATGAACAGCATTTTGGCATCATGGATATGGCTTCTGTGAAGCTCTGAGTTAAGACAGCCCAAAGACTGAATGCTGTCCTTGAATCTTGAAGCAAATGATAAGAGCTGTGTTTCGAGCAGTTGTCTTTACCCAGCTGGAGTGTGCTCTGGGGAAGTAGCAAGATCTTGGTAAAAATGGATGGTTAAGGGGAGGAGCTCAATTAGTAAGTGGCAAGTACATTACTGATGCTTTATCTGACTGCAGAGGGGTGGCATGCAGCACCTACTGTTTTTGTGGGCTGTTCAAGGGTGTGGGGAGATCAAGCTGATTCAGTATGACGCATAGAAAAACGCACACTTCATTTCCCTCAGCAGATCCCTTCAATCTTTGGAAGTCTTTCATTGTATCAGAATACTTTAGGAGATATCAAACATTGAGTAATTGAGGCTGGTAGGTAACTAATCTCATTCAAACAAGGGTCTGGCACTACTTAGGCAGGAACTAGCTGCTTCTGCTTTAGTTCTCGAAGTAGCTGAGGTTGTTGTCCCATTCTTTTAGAAGTGTGTGTTCTGAGTATGCCACAAAAGCACAGAAGTGCTAGGTTGGTGTGGTTATTTGTGGTAAAGGTGGGAGTGAAATTAGCAAGTCTTCCTTTGTGGCCCTGTGCTTTTTCTATAGGCCTCCTGGACTAAGCCAGATGCATCTCATTTGCTGCCATTCCCAACCACCCTTCCAAGGTAGATTGCTCCAGGGACCTAGTCTGGATTTTCAAATCACACTCACCAGGCCAGCAGATTAGTCTGTTTAGTTGTCTTGTGAAAGGTCCTATTTCTAGGAAGAGTGATTGTAGGCATGTACCTGAATCCATCAACTGGGAAAACAGGTCATGGCTATAAATGTGGAGAGACCCTCCTGATCAGATGTGCCACTCTAACTCTGCCACTGGGTCTTCAGAGAATACTGGATTATCAGTTTCCAGGGGTATAATAATAAAAAATGTTATAATTAATGCATTATAGGAAGACAGCAGCAGAGAGCTGGTATGAAAAAACATGATTTGGAGTAATCTAAAAGCAAATCTAGTATGGGATGCTATCAGGTCTTAGCTCAAGAATTCAAAAAATATTAAGGCCAGATCTGTAAAGCAGAACAGGGTAGCTGTTCCCTGGTTATCCAGCAGGTCAATGACCAGGGCCACATGATAAAGTTGCACTTTCTTTTCTTGTCTGAACAGATGTTTTCTGATCAGTTTGCTGGTATTGATCTTGCTGAGGCTTTTGATAACACACAGTAACTCAACCAGAAGAAATGGATAATCTCAGTATAGTGAATCAAACCCTGTCAGGCAGACGTGGGAGCTGAACTTGCATCACTTGTGAATGAATATAGTAACCTTTTAGGGAGTTTCGTACAGGATGAGAGAAGGAAACCAGCTTGTCACCTGTGTATTGTGCTTGTCTTTCACTTTTGGGTAAATGTTCCAAATTCAAAGGTAAAGAATTCAGTTGGGGCTGATCAGAAGTCCAACCTGAAATCCTATGTGCTTTCTCATTGGTTTCAAAAGGAAGACCAATTTTAGCTCTGCAAAATTGCAGTTTAACTCTTCATAATATGCCAGTAACTATTAATAGAGCTTTATTTCTTGCTGTATTTCACTTATTAAAATATCTTGTATCAAGGTTTGATTTAATATATCTCTTTCTAAGCATAACTTTAGTACATTTTAATTATATGAAAACATATCTATTTTCAAAATAATTAATTTGGATTTTTTTTTCAGTACAGGATAACTTTTTAGTGATCACACTCTTTGTCTCAGAGACAACGTGTGTAAACTAGGAGATTTAACAGTTTGCTCTTCTCAACTCAAATTAGCTGTGATATTAACTGGATAGATGCTGCTTTCTCCATGGGTTATCTTGGGCCCCTTGGGAATGATGCATATTTTAAATGAGTACACAGATTGCTGGAGGAGATTTGATGTTCCCCGATAGTATTGCAAGATAACCAGGTCTCTACTGAACTAAAGGATTTTGGATTTGAAATTTCTCACTAAGTCACTGCAGACTGAAAGCTGCCAGATAGAGACCATGAGGAGGTGGTTTTAAGAGCAGAGAACTTGGTCTTTAAGATCTCTCAGTGGAGTCTGAGTCTGATCTCTTGTTAGGGTTTGCTCCTGTGAAAGTTATCTCATTCATGCTAGAGGCTGAATGCATTGGTGTTAACTGAATTCCCCTGTCAGCCCTGCTAAGAGTTAATTTGCAGCTTACTGGAGTTTGGGCAGTAAAAAAGTCAAAGCCTGTGATATAAGGAAATAAGAAATATGAGGCTGAACAAAACACCAGGCACTAGAAAGCATCACACAGACAGCTGTGTTATTCAGGGTCTTTTGAGGAGAATGCCAGTCTATTAAGCAATGTCTCTTTGCCACAAGAACAAAGAAAGGATGGATCAATGTTGGAAGGCTTTCATCAGCACTGCAGAGGATCAGTGTTTCTTTGGCCACTGAGTGTTGCTAGTTGGAGCAGAATTTGGTTACTAGAGTGTGGAGAAGACCATGTCTAATTCCTAAACAGGGGGGTCTACCTGCCACTAAATTATATAATTGTGAAGCTGTATGTCCTAAGCACAGGAATCTCTGTCAAGGTGGTTATTCTGTTAGAGCACAACAGTCCTGCCTTCCATGGCACCATAGCAAAAAAGGCTAGGGGAGTGAAGAGCTGGTTGGAGTTGTAATGTTTATGGATAATGAAAGCATTGAGTGGATGTAACCTGAACTGTCTTTCAGAATCCATCCTAGCCTCTGTCTCAGCAGAGCTTGGCATATCTAGTTGTGAGATAAATAGGAAATAGAATAAAGTAGGGGAAAAAACTCAAACCAACAAAACTTAGGGGCTGCTGAGCTGGGTCCCCAACATAGACATTACACTTGAAGGATACTGGTAACACTGTGGAAGTTGATGAGTCTTGGTTCTTCCATTGCAAAAGTTTTGGGGTTTTTTCCTATTCTGTTACTTAGCAAGATGGAGGTCAAAAACATCCTGCTAAAGGGAGGAAACTCTTTTGGTTTTGAAGAGGTATTTCCACTTTAATTTGTATATCCTATTACAAATTGATTACCTGTATGTGGATGTTGGTTGACACCTCCGTGGTGTTGGTGGATGAGAAATTCAACATGATCCAGCAACGTGCACGCACAGCCCAGAAAGCCAACCATGACCTGGGCTGCATCAAAAGAATTGTGGCCAGCAGTTTGAAGGAGGTGATTCTACTCTGCTCTTGCAGAGTACTGGAGTACTCATCCAGCTGTGGACAAGCCCAACATAAGGACACAGACCTTTTGGAGCATGGCCAGAGAAGGGTTGTGAAGATAATCAGAGGGCTGGAACAACTCTCCTGTGAAGACAGACTGTGCCTGTTCAGCCTGGAGAAGAGGAGGCTTCTGGAAGACACTGTGAAGAAATTCTTCAGTGTGAAAGTGATGAGGCACCTGAACAGGTTTCCCAGAAAATTGTGGATGCCCCATCCCTGGCTAGAAGTGTTGAAGGCCACATTGGGTGGGGCTCTGAGCAACCTTGCCAAGTGCAAGGTGTCTCTGCCTATGGCAAGAGTGTTGGAACTAGATGATTTTTATGAGTCCATTCCCACCCAAACCATTATATGATTCTATGATATGAATGCTTTAACTTCTTTCTTAAAAAAAAAATTTAAGAGAAATCAGTATCAGAAGTGGCATAGGTTTTTATTCCTTATCTCCCACGTTTCCATTTCCCTCAGCACTGCAGCACTTCCTAAGGTTTCTGTTTCCCTTTGCAAGTCTGTGTGACCTGTGAAGAATGAGCAGTTCTGAAATGTTGGAGAAGGGGGTCTGTGCTGCCAGTGTTTGTGGCTGTAGCTGGTATTTGCACAAAAGGGAAATAGAGACAGATGGCTGGAAGGACAGTGCTGCCTGTGAAAGCATGAGTCTCACAGGCAAGGAGATGCTCAGTTTTTTTAATCTTAAACTTTGTAGCTTTGGCATAAGGCCATGTTTTGATGAAATCTGTCTGGATACAGTTCACAAAATGCAGCAGTTATGATCCGAGATCATAACCTTGCCTCAATATCTGCAGAGTCAGCCATACACTTCCAGGGCTGTGCTGTGTGTTCTCTGTGCAGAGAGCAATGGAGGGATGGTGCTCTAATTGCCATTTAGGTGGAGGCCCATTGGAGTGGGGATAGCTGCAGGACAGGGAACCAGTCTGATTGAGATGGATAGGAGGGCCTCACTCAGGCTGGAAGCAAAATCTCTCCAGTGAGGAGAGCAAAGTGAGATGCAAAAGCTGCCTCTTTCAAGCATGAGATGTGACTACTAAGGAGGGGCAGAAGCATGTTTCCATAGTGGACTGTTCTGATCAGCCAAGAGGCTTGCCCTCAAGGGTAATAATTGATTTCCCATGGATATGTTACAATTCCCAGGGACTGGGAGAGGTTATGAGATGGGTATGGGATTGTTCCATGGAAGGCTGCAGTGTATAGAAGAAACGGAGGCAGGACTATTCCACTGGTTTTAGGTTTTTATCTGAATCTCTTTTTCTGCTAAACCCTCAAAGCTGATGGATAGTGTATACAGGTCTAGATGATGAGAATTCAAGGCTCAGTGGAGCCAGTTGAGTTCTAGTGGGTGTTATTTATGTGCTTATTGCAACTTGCAGTTTACAAAGAAGTAATCTTGGCCATCCTGGGTTTTCAGACTCCTATCAACTGCCCTACAGCCTTGACATCAGGAAACTGAGCCAGTCTGGTGGGGGAAAACTTGAGCTTTGCATTGTGAGAGCAGAACTCTCACAGCAGAAAGTAGGAACAACAGAAGGAGAGGTGCTGGGCTCCTCCATAGCATGTGACTTTGAAGCAGAAGACTTGATGTTTGTCACCTGTCCCATATATTTTGGTAACACTAACATGCTGCTTGTGACTTCCTGCAGTTGTGATGCTGGCTGAAGCTCCTCTATTTTAACATTTTCTTTCCAGTATGCCACCTGTTTAAATGAGTAAAAAAAATTGCCCATTTGGCTAGCACTCTCACTAGCCAAAACCAAGATTTTATATGAGGAGATTAAGCTAAGTTCCTTCCAACTTCCCTGTCTCTTGCTGAATACACCCTTGCTGTCTGCAAATCTCTCATCTGCTCCCTCTGTAGTGCTGTCTGTCTGTCCTGTTTATTTTTCTTGCTGCTTCTTGCTTGTGGCTTCACTTGGTTTTTCTTCCCATCAGAGCAGAGGGTATAACACCATCCACCTCTCTCACCACTTCATTGCCTTTTGCTGTCTTGGATTTGTGCACCAGACCCTCACTTTTACTGCTTATCTGCCCACTCAGCTCATTTCCTGAGATGGAGCCACTGCTGGTAACCTGCTCTGCTTTCACTGTGTTTTCTTCTTTTCTACCTTGTGGTCAGAAAACCTGCAAACACTTATTTTCTCTGTCTGCCTTTCTTCCTCTTCCTGCCTACATCCTCTTAGATTTTGCTCAGAGATGGCTGTGCCATAAGCCTGAAAAGGGGTAAACAAAGTTTAGTATGTCTGGTTCACAGCAATAAAAGCATGGATCAGAGGTTGTAAAGTAGCATGGTGAGTAGCCAGGCAGTCCTCCTTCTGAGGACTGGCTGCTGCCATTTGTCACTCCAGGATATTTGAGATTATCTCAGATCTTTTTCTGATACCATGTACTAATGCAGACCATGTTGCAGAGACTCAATATGTGGCATGACAATTACCACATGGTGTGCTGTGGTATTACTGGGGATCTTTAATAATTATGCTTAAGGTTTTGCAAAATGAGTAGTTTTCCTGGTGTTCTGTTGCTTAATGCTGCACTGGAGAATGTAAGTGGAGGAAAGAATCTTCTGTGCCTTTGTTCATGTGTGAGTCAAGTTCTCAACCATTTTACTCAACCATCTGCTCTTGGATTTCAGAGAGTTACTATTGGGTCTTGTTGCCATGTTACATTTACACTCAAGTACCTCTTTCTCTATAGATTGTCTGGCAGGAGACAGGATGTGGTTGCTTTCAATATATGGGTGGCTTTGGAGCAGTAAGTCCCAAACCCTGTAGAGATTCAATAAATGTTACTACTCATGCCAACTAAATATAACCAAAGCTCTGTACTATGTGGCATCTCTGGTTGCCTAGAGTATATTTGGGGCAGAAGTTATTTCATCAGTCATGAATTATTATATTTATATTCAATTTAAGTGCCTGTATGGGCAGTCAGCTGCACCTGAAATCTGTGTAATATTTCTTGAAGTGAAATTGTCTCTCCTAGCAATATCTGCACAACTTTGTCTTCGGGTATATGTGAGGCAACAGAGGCAAGTTAGAACACAGGAAATTCTAAGTAAATATAAAGGAAAAGCTTTTGCTATGAGGATGAGGAGTGAGTGGACCACAGATATTGAGAGGCCGAGTTATCTTTCTACTTGGAGATACTAAAAACTTGACTGGACAAGGCCTGGGGTAACCTACTTTAATGGGGCTTGGTTTAAAACAGAGACCCTCAGAGTCCAGAGATCCTTCCCAACCTACCTCATTCTGTGGGATTTTTCAGCTGAGCTAAGCTGTGCCAGATATGATTCGACCCTGGATGAACTATTGTCTTTGTACTAGAGTTGAATTTCTCCGTATTGTTTTCTTCAATACAGGTAGTGATCCAGATGGACAGAGCAATAAGGCGCATAGAGCCATGGAAGATCGCAATCATTGTTGTGTCAGTGATAGTTGGCTTAGCCCTCATCATTGGCTTGATTACATTTCTTTTGTGCCACGGTAAGTGAGTGCCCTGCTATCTTGTTGTTACAAACTTTCAGGAATCTGTTGTGTTTCACTTGCTACTGTGGTCCAGCCTGATGATTTAGGCAAGCAATTTGCCCCTGGTGTAAAAATCACATGAGAAGATTTTAAATGCTATTTGAGAACTAGATTGATCTGAAAACCTGTTAGAATACTCGAAATGCACTTTACTTGAAGCAGGGATTTCAGTTCTAACCCTCTTTTGTTTCTTGCCCTGGTGTTTCCACTGGTATCCAGTGTCTCCACTGACTGACCAAAGGATAACAGTCTTCTGTATAAGCCAGAGGTGTGTCTAGTACTCAGGCTATGCATAGTAAGCTTAGTCTTGAATGGGGTTTTTGCAGAAACTCAACCTGGCCCCTCTAGCTGACAATATTCCAGAAAGAGAGGGTAGAGCTTTAGGCTTTTCAGAGCTCAGGACTCAGTTCTGGTTGCCAAGAGCCCAGTTTCAGTAGCAGATCATAGAGTCATTGAAGTTGGAAAATATCGTGAAGATCACCAAGTCCAACTGTCTTGGCTCATGACTTGAAGACAATTCCATTCCCAGTCACTTGCCTCATGAATGAAGCTGAGTCATTCCATTCCCAGTCTCGGAGATACCAGTGTGAGTTTTTTGAAATACTTTCCTGCTGGAATGGAATTAATCATGTGGCCATCTCAGCTTACCAAGAGTCGATGAGACTGTGGCTTGCACTGGGACACCAGAAGGAGCAGTGGCAGAGCTACAGCTCAGCTCTGCTTTTTGCCAGCTCTGTGTTACAGGGCCCCTATCTGCCATACACTCGGGAATCAGATTTTAAAATTAACCCAGCGACTGAATGGATGCAAACAGTTCTGCCTGACGTGCCTCTCAGAGGGACAGGGACGTGCCAGAGTGCAGCTGGAGAGGAGTGGCTGTGTCTGAGTTAGAAGGGCTCCTTTGTCTCGAGCTGTGCTCACCTCAGGCCGACAAAAAGATGGACCCCAGGGAAATGTTGTAGTGAGTGTAATTTGGAGCTCCTTGAATAAATGAGCCCCTAGATGGTCCATCTGGCAACAGGATGGTCCAGAACTGCCTTTTCCCAAAGTGCTGCTAAAGCTGTAATTTCATAGGTAATAGGATTACTGCCAGGGCCAGGGACCCTTGCTTGTGCCATGTCCTGTGAGATACTGTGCAACTTTGAATTGTGCTAAAGATGATCAGCTACCTTTCCTTCTTTTTCTCCTCTGTAGATCAAGACAGGTATTACAATGCATCTTTCCTAATCACCAATGTCGACTACAATCCTCAGTATGAAAGGCAGACTACAGATGAGTTCAGGAACCTAAGTGAAGATATTGAAACCATGGTAAACGAAAAGTTTCTCTGGTTACACCTGACCTGTGGTGAAGAGTTCTGCAAATGTGCGATTGAAAATAGAGTCAGAGGTGATTGTGCCTCATGCCTACATGGCTGGCCTTACCTTTCACACCTTGCTGTTGTGGGTTAAAGATGCATGGTTGACTTTGCACATACAGATGGTAAGTGCAAGTACTATCTGTTCCAGAAGCCCTGTGGTGGAACTGGCCACCACAGAGCAGAATGGACAGTGGAATCAGCCAACTCAGCTATTTATTTTGTACCTACATCCTCTAATGGAAATTTGTGGTAGTTTTGGTGTAGAGGTGGAGATCTATATGCATTTTCATATTTCAGAGGCTCATGAGACTGTTACATTGTAAAAGGATGTACTTATTGCAGGTATATTTTAACATACTCTTTTCTTTTAATAGGTATCTGAAGTATTCAGGGGTTCCTTTCTAAGTAAAAGATACATCAGGTCTCACGTGGTCAGTCTAAGGTAAGTAATGTGAAGGCCAGTAATAAGCAGGGATGTACTAAATACCTTTTCTTCCTACCTGTTGACCTACCTGGTTGCTTTTGCTTGGGTTACACCAGCAGGGTGACTAAGCCTTGTCTGGTTGTTGCTGTCCTCCAGTGCTCACAACACTGAAGACTCAGTTACCCTTGGAGGGCATCAAGGAAGAGAAGTTTGGCCTTATACTTCTTCAGACTGATTACCTGTACACCTGTTGTTTGTGACTGTGATACAGAAACTGGATTATTGGGTGATCCCCATTTTCACTACTAGTTAACAGCCTGAGAGATGCAGAATAATCTTTTTTTCACACATATTTCTTCCTGTGTAAGCTCGAGCTGGTGCTTACCTCTCTGCATTGTGTATAATAGTGGAGGTGACTATTCTCCTTCTGTGAAAAGGCCCGAAGCAATAAATGATTCCACTGTGAGATAGATGGATATAGATGAGGGAACATAGACATGGATGTAGTAGAGGGTTCTGTGTGAGATTTAACGTTTTCCCCTTCAGTAATTATATGCCATTCTCAGTGGTAAGAGCCATTGCTTCCCTCTCGTCCATGTTACTTTATTTTGGAGTTGTATTTCTATAAGGCTCAATTCTGTTGTGGAATATTCTCCCCTAGATAGCAAAAGATGCCAAACTTCCCACAAATGTCCTTCACAGCACTTCAGGGATTTTTTGTCTTTACCTGTCTCTAGATGGAGTGGTTAATTTCTTAAAGTCTTCTACATAATTTCCTGATGCTGGCTTCTTCCACAAGCCTCCCACAGTATACATCAAGAGAAATTGCAGAGCTTGGGAGCTAGAGTCCAAGTGACTTCTTTACACCTTTTAGGTTGATCTCTTCCAAACTTGTTTTCACTACAGATACTTTGTACAACTAGGCACTGGGGCAGCTTAGCTGCATCTCTGCTCTCTTTCCCTCAAAACTTCAGTTAGTTTTCCTTTATATGGTTAATTTAAGGTATTGGTCCCAATATCTTATAATGTCATTAAGTGATCTCAAACTATTGAGAATGTTGTATCTAAACACGAAGGATCTGACTGGTCAATAAATGGACAAGTGACCTAAATGGAAAAAAATGCCAAAAGACCTTTTTAATTTCTATTATAACTAGATCTTTTGAATGGCTCTTAGGAATGGCCTGTTGGATATCTGTTGAAGTGTTTTAATTTGCTGTAGTGTTCCCTCTGTCATTTGTGTCCTACTGATAAGGACCTGTGTGGAGGCGAAAGGGAGTGATCCCTTCTTTGTTTCTCAGCTCTACTGCTTACAACTGTTCCCAGAAAATTCCTTCTGATCACTGTCATAGCAAGAAGTTTTTGCCACCTGCTGACATGTCATCATCTTCCTTTATTTTAGCACAGCCATGCTATTTGTTCTGGACATCTGTATAGACTAGACCTATTCTCATATAAAGAAGGCAGTCAATAGAAAGCAGAACCAGGAACATTGGTAGGCAGAGAGAACGACACCTTTTTTTTTTGTTGGTTTGTAGCCCAGATCCTGTTGGAGTGCTTGCATCTGTTGTTCTGGTATTTAAATTTCCCTCTGCTGACAGTGAAGCAACAACCTGGGATCAAGTCAACCGTGTGTTACTCAGAAGGCTAAAAGCAACCTCAACATACCTGAATGTTGACCAGTCTACTGTTAGACTCACAGGCAAGTGGCTTAGGTTTATGTTTTCAGCTTGGAATTTGTTCCTCACACTTTGCTGTTCTTAGTGTAATGAGTTTCACCTTAGTATGCAAATATGGGCTATTCTTGTTTTCTTTTTTTGCCTTCTCAAAATTTTCTGTTAGGCTGACAGCCTGGGAAGTTGGAAAATGGATGAAGCATGGAAAGAATGAAAACATATTGTCACTGATTTATAAGTGTGAGCTCTTTATGCATCAGATGCTTTCCCTGTGTAACCTAGTTGGGTTGAATGAGATAGTCCCCTTCAATTCATCAAAAAAGGCCCAACTTTGTGGCCATAGGTTCACAACCTACTTTAAGACACACAGTAATTTTAACAAGAATCTTTGTCACCAGGCACTGAAATATGGAGTCCTAAAGCTATTAAAAATGCAGGGCTGACATGGTTCCTTTTTCTACCCTCTGCAATTTCCTTTGTTATTTGACAGATTGCTGTAGCAAGTGTGCATAACAAGATCCTGAGGATCCCTGGGCAGTAATCCTCTCACATGAATCTCTTGTGGATTGCCATGAGACTGACAGAGGGGTTTTTGTAGGAAAGAAATTAGAAATGTTGCAGTTTACGTTCAGTCAGGCCCAACACTGAAGATTTGTGAAGACTCATTTGATCACCTTACCGTATTAAACCTGAACAAAGATCTGTAGGCATTTGCTGGTAGCTGTGCAAGTCGTACATGTAGATGTAACTTGGACCCGCTTGCAGTCATCTGCTGCTTTTGTTAGCTCTGAGCTAAGGCAAGGAAGGTGCATTCTGTGGCCTTTCAGTGAGGAGCAGAAGCTTAACTGAGCTTCTCCAACAGAACAAATTACTCGTCTTATAGTGTCACTCCAGGCAGCAATGCAAGCCATTTAATTTGTGTTTCCTGGGTACGGGGAGAGAGTCTGGGCTAGATCATGTAGTGTATGAGATAAAGTTACTGTGGTCTTTGCTTTTCATTCCAGAGCTGAACAAGGAAAAGGGAGATAACCTTTTAAACAACTGTAAGTACAAATGCTTTATAGTAAAGATCCAGAGGCATTGTGCAGGTGGTTCTGTGCTTACATAATTCTTATACTTTTATGATACAAATTGAAAATAGAATTTGTTGCAGATTTTAGAGCAGTAGACAGTGCATGAGCCAGGGAAGACTTCAGCTAATTTCCTTGCAGTCTTGCTGGCTCTACACATTAGTAGAATCAAGCATTCTGGCTTGGTGGTGGGAAGCACTTACTTTGATGTTGATTGTTGGAAATAGGGGCATGTAGCAAGCTGCTGTTAACAAGTTTGCAGAAGGACTACAGTTTTGCTGTGGGCCATGATTCTTGCTGGAATCCTTGAAAAAACACTTTCCCTCCTTCTCCTTCAAGAAAGGTTTTACAATAGATGTCTGTCAGATTTGAGCTAAAATTAAGGAAAGGCCAAAGGGTGGGAGAGGGAGAAGAGCTGTCCAGAGTCAGAGCAAGGCAGAAGCACCACCTGGAGAGTGGCAGGTTCTCACTCCTGTTGCGCTCCCCCTTGAGGTCTTAGAGTTCCTCTGGAAACTGGGAGACAGCATAAGTACCCTCCCAGGGCACTCTATCAGTCCACTGCATGCTCTTGAAGACTTTACATGTTAGCTTTCCATCTTCAAATGGCCTCTGAGAATTAACTGGTTTGAATCTAACTTTTATTCGGCTGGGTAATACCTGATTCTTGGCACAGTGGCTGTAAGTAAATTGTTGGGAAGAGGACACTATTTTTTTCTTGCTGCTGCCAAGGCTAATCTGGAGGTGACCTGACAAAATCCCTTTTTTCAGTGTCTCAGATACACAGCCTTCAGGTCCCATGTTCATATGGGCTTGTGTGCCTGAAAACTAGCTTAATGAAAAAGTACTGACTCCTCTACCAAACTTCTTCGTTTACCCTGCATCTATCCTGAGACACTTGTGACCATGGCACTTGGTTTCCCTGCTTTGGGTGAAAGCTGTCTCTTGACAGAGACTCCTGCCCTGTTACACCTATGCCTGCAGCCATGAGGGCCTTCAATCAGCTAAAGCAGTGTTGCCTTTTCTTTGACAGGCTGTGGAATACGAAGACAGGCATTCTCCTTCACAGGAGTGGAAAGAATAACTGGTGGGCAGCGTGCACGGGAGGGAGAATGGCCATGGCAGGCAAGTATTCAGCTTGATGGGACCCATCGCTGTGGTGCATCAATCATCAGTAACACCTGGCTGGTGACTGCAGCCCACTGCTTTAGAGGGTAAGTCATCAGCACCTCTCTGATCCTACAGGCCTTAGGATTCTTTGGTGCTTTGACCTTTTGTGCCCTCTAATATCTCTATCTGCTGAAAGATAATGAAGTTTGATTCTTCCCCTTTGGCAAATCTGGTCGCATTGCTTTTTGATGCTTAAATGGAGACCTAAGTTCCCTTAGGGATGTTGTTTTGTGTGGCTCTGGCATAACCTCAAACATCTTACAGAGTAAGAGATCCTTGGAGGTGGACTGCCAGCTTTGGAATTCTGCTGAGACCTCCAAAACAGAAAAAATTTGTCCGGAGAATTATTGTTCATGAGAGATATGGTGACTTTCTCCTTGATCATGAATATGATGTGGCTGTTGTGGAACTTGCCTCTGCTATTGAGTTCACAAGTGACGTGCACAGTGTCTGCCTTCCTGAAGCATCTCACATTTTCCCAGACAACACTTCCTGTTTTGTCACTGGCTGGGGAGCTTTGGAGAATGATGGTGGGTGTCTCTTGCCTCCCTGTGCCCTGTCACACATGTGCCTGAGAAGACTGATGTTAGTTTTTTGGTTTTTTTGTTTATTTTGAGTTCCTTGGACTTGGTGTTTAATAGGTGCATGTCCCAATGAGATACCTTTGGACTTAGTTTGCTGCTTGTTTTTCTGTCTTGGTCAGTGGATTGGAAATGATGGGAAGACCTTGAAGGTTAGTCTTGCAGGATTTAAGAGCAGCTTTTCTTAGTTGCTGCACACACAGCACTAGTTGAATACATTCTGTTTTCCAGTTCCTCTGGGTTTAGCTCTGGCATGAGTTCTTTTGCTATACAGATTTTTTGTAGATGCACCATGACGATTTTCATCAGTTATTCTTTCTTTGGTCATAAATGAGGCCTCATCCAGTGGTTTGACTGAGCTTCTTTCAAATTAGTCTGTGTCATTGAGTTAGAGAGGATGGGACTATAAATCTGCTTGTGAGACCCACTGAACTGTATGGGTTGTGCATCATGGGAGACCCTTGGGATTGTGTAGTGATTGCCCAAAGCTGTGCTGCAGTTAACCAAATGGGTCTTTGTTTAGCAAGTAATAGCAAGGATATACCATGTAGCCTACAGGTGAATGCAGCATTGAAATATGTACAAAAATCCGTTTCTCCATTATGCTAAAGAGTATCTGGTGATGATGAAAGATGGATAGGAGTTATGCTTGGAAACAAGTGAAGGACTTTGGAGGGGGGGAACTTTCTTTATCCTGCAACATTTTCAGGATGGCTCCCTTAATTGCCTGTGATGGCAGAAAAGTGTCAGGAAAATTTGGCTTCTCCTAATCTCTGAGTTTTTAATGTTGCTTACCCTGTCTGCAAATTCTAATGCCACTTATACTTCTAGGTTATAGTGTTAATCAGCTTCGACAAGCGGAAGTGAGAATTATAAGTACTGAGGTTTGTAACAGGAGGCAAGTGTACGGTGGAGCGATAACACCTGGAATGTTGTGTGCTGGATACTTGGAGGGGCAGGTGGATGCTTGCCAGGTAAGTCTCTTTATCAGTAGTAGTAAAAAGGAAATAGGTGGGGTGAAAGGTGATGTTTTCTAGAAAAAAAATGTACTTTGGACAATCCTAAGTTTATGAGTTTCAATATACTGATAGATGCAAACAAAGAGCTTCAAGGCTCATGCTCTGGAGTCTGCACTTCAGTTTGCATGAGGTTTATATACAATGCACAAGTGAGAGAATGCAGATGTGAGGGTGTGGACTGGCAGAGACTGAATTAGATATAGACTGTGAGCTTCTGTCTTGTCAGTAAACTGTGTTAAACTTGAATTATAGCTGAGATCTACAGAAAAATACCTGTCAAATGTAACAGAAGAATTTGAGAATTTGAGTTCATGAGTGAGTTCATGATTCCCTGAATAAACTCTGCTTACTTTTTTTGTCTGTTGGCATTTTTCTCCTTAGGGTGACTCTGGTGGGCCACTGGTGCATGCGAATTCCAGAGGAATCTGGTATCTTGTGGGAATAGTGAGCTGGGGAGATGAATGTGGCAAGCCAAATAAACCAGGAGTATACACACGAGTGACTTACTATCGAAACTGGATCCACTCCAAAACGGGCATCTGAAACCTGGAGCAAGTTAAGTTTTGGGGGCTGTGTACAGCTATTCCTCTGACACATCCTGCTCTGTGGTCACCCTCTAAACAGCTGCTGGCTTAGCTTGTGGTCATGTATAAAGTATCTGTAAGCTTGAGACAGTGTAGGACTTGAAATTGGTTCGGCCTATAGCCAGACAGGAATGGACTTGATCCATGTGATATTTGTTTGTTCAGGAAGTAGTCTGTCAGAGGGAAAACTGCCTTTGTCTATATGTGATATATTGACCCTTTTTTCTCCATGGCCACATGTCTTGGCCCCAGCCTTTATCCCCAAGCAAAATGTTTGAGCCCAAACAATCATCTACCAGCATCCAAGACAAGCTGTAACTGAAACCTGGCCCATCCATTTGCTGTGTGCCCACAAGGCCCTATCTGTCCATAGACAAGCTACTGTCCAGGCCCTGACTCCAAGGCTGCTGCACTTCTGAATTCTTGAGCTTTCTCCCGCATAATTCCAGTGAGCGTAATGAAGAATGGAAGATGTCTTAGAGAAGTGCTGGTTCCTAATATCACATTGAACTATTACTTAAGTGAATAGAGAAGTTTTCCTTGCCTGAGAAAGAAATTAGAGGAAACCTCCAGCTTCTGTCCACCTTCTTTGAACAAGTGAACATATGCCCGCTTATCGCTTCATATGAACAATCTACCACAACATTTGCCAGGGGAAAATTTGCCATTTGCTGGACTTAAGACCAAAAATCACTTTATGTTCATACCAGTTTGTTGTCATAGGACAATATTTGGCTGAATTAATTTCCGTTTTTATCTTCCCAGACTGTATTTGTCTGAATAAAAGTCCTTTGCCTTTTGTGCAGGATGGACAAATGTAACAATCTTAGTATGACCATAGTCAGAAAAAACTTCTCAAAATTCTTATTCTTGTGAATGCTGTTCTCAAGTCTTTATAGTTTTATATGTGCATCTTTAGCTGTATCCTGTAAAAAAAACCCTCAAAAACTTTTTGCATTACAGTGGAAATGCCCCTCTCTTTCAGAGCAGGACAGAACTTCTGACAGACCCAGAAATCTTATGCACATATGTCTCTCTTCTCACAGGAAGTAAGAATTGCAGGTGTTGCATTGCTAGACTGTAGCTGACTCATATGATCTCAGCCACGCAAACCTCATATTCTCTCTGGCATCATGTTTTCAGGAGCCCGTGTTTCTGTCAGCCAGGTAGATATCCAATGCTTTCTAGAATCCCATAGCAGAACACACTTATTCTTGGTGGAGATGCTCTCTTTGGTGTGTCTGCAAGCTTTCCAACATTTCATGTGGATCCTGATCCCAACAACAGCAAGTGATGTGGACTTAATTGCTGGATAATGAGGCGCTCAACTGCTCTCTTCTCCCTCTGTGGTCAGAAGAGAAAGAGCTCGGGAGAGGAGATACTGTCCCCACTGCCAAGACTCAGGGCTGGTCCAGCACGGAAAGCAAGCAGAACCTTCTGCCAGGCTAGAAAAGGCAAACAGCAGGCTTTCAGTATGCTCTTAGTTAGAAGGGCCGGGGGAAACAGGCCTTCAGTGGTTATAGTCTCGGGACCAGTGTTGTTCAAATTGACCACTAGTCAGCTGGCAAAGTCAATGGGAGTTCCGGGATTCCCTCTGGACTGTGCAGCTCGCTGCCAAACAGAGCAGCAACCCTTCCAGAGCAGTGATAACAAAAGTATTTTTATTACGTGTCCTGTGGTCTGTTTGTCAGTCCAGAGAACAATGCTTTTCTAGAGCCTCGCCAGAGGTACTGGAACAGTTGGAAGCCCACAGAAGGTCTGCAGCTGTTGTGTGTTCTATACTTGTGTATACCAGGCACTTGATTTTTTTTTTCCCTCCAGGAACTTTTCTTGTGGTATGTTGTGAGCTTCAGAAACAAACTTAGTGGTTTAATTTCTACATAGGGAATAAACACTGTCAGACTGGTTCCATAGGTCTGAGCCCAACAAGTTTCGTTTCAGCATCTTCAGATGAACATGTCTTTGATATTTATTCCTTATTAGAGGAAGCTTAAAACGGATATATGACAAATATATATGAATTTTTTTTCTTGGTTGTTGCAATTGTCTTGCCAGGACGGTGAATAAAATTTTATAGTTTTCTTCATAAATATAATTTAAAAATACTCTGGATTTTCAGGTCTCAAAGCACTTTAGGCTTGGGTTTTCAAAGGGCATAATGGCTTCCCCATCTCATGGATTTCATTGCAACGTCCACACTTCACATTTTTAGAGTGGTAAATACCAACTTTCTCATTGATTCCCTGAAACAGATAAGTAGATGTCCAAAAAATTCATTTTGAACTGTGAACTTTGCAATTTGCTTCTTTTGGGTACTATATCAGAAAGCCTTAAGCATTTCGCTCAGTCTCAAGGGCTGCAGTAAATCTCATTCTACAAAGTGGTGCAAACAAAAAATCAACTTGTCATTCGTTTAAGGAACTGCCATTTCTGAGGGTCTACGTGTAGAGATACAGAACCTGATCTCCCTTATTGCTGAGTGCCAGCACAGTGCAGCCAGGAGAAGTGGGGATGAAGAGGACCTGGTATCTACTTGGTGTATGTTTTGGAAGCCTTTATTTTGGACTACCTTCTGGAGATTCTCCTTACAGCATCTGAAAATTTCTGTTCATGTTTCTTCTTGGAAGCAATGTAATTCACATGCTCTGAGGCCTCTTGGTAATGCTAAGCACCAAATGGTGACTATCAAGAAGAGCATTTGTAAGAATAGACTTCATCCAAGGGAGTATTCATGTGGTTGGACACGATGGGCCTCGATCCCTTACTTCTGGCAAAACTACACTGATATCAACCTTATCTGGCTTTTTATGAGGGAAATTAAGGAAACCTGAAGCCAAAACTTTTTGTTTGGTTTAAGTGGTCTAGCAGACTTGTATTTATTTTAAGCTGCAATTTCACCTTCATTTGTGAAGCTACAAGCTGCAGTTTCTCTCATCTGTGTTTTTAGAGGAATTAACATCTTCACTCAAGGCAGAATGGGATATATCTAACTATAAATCATGCATGACACACAGGAATGTAATTTATATGTAAATTTAATAAAATCTGTTAAATTTACCTTCTGTTTCATGTACTTAATAATTTCCTGCATCACAGTAATCAACTCTAAGTTGGGGACTCCTCTTTTAGAAAGTTACACAGATCCTATACCATGGATTTATGTGCTGGCTTTTATGTTCTCTTAATCATCTGTTTTTTTGATTGTTAGAAGCTGTTAGATGAGCAAAATGTCATCCAGACTAGGACAGAATTTACCCATCTGGCCTGCAGTTACCCAAATTTATATGCAGGTAGACAGGTCCTGTGTCATCCACTAGAGGGTGAATTGGATTGTACAAGAGCCTTATGCCCTTGGCGGCCGGTGGTGCTCTGCTTCAACTCACTAGAGAGGAGCTGGAGGACAAGGCACTGTGTTCCTGCTGCCTTGAAGGTGCAGAGATGCTACAGAGTTTTCTTGCAAAATCTGGGGAGGCTGCAGCTGCTTAAAGCCTCACAGGTCTCTGCAGCACTGTGTGAGTTTCAGGTTTCTCCCATCAGAAAGCTTGGCATCCCTCTCTCCCCGCTAAGTATGTTAAATACAGTAGAGTATGGCTGTGAGAGCAAGGACTGAGCAGGTTTTGTCTGCTTATCTGCAAGAACAAAGCCAGAGCTTTGTCTTGTGGAAGAGTAGACTGGAAACGCACGTGGTCAGGTATTTTTTGGCATCATGGGTTAGTTTTCTGAGCTTGTCAGCCTTCTTGCAAATAAGATAGCAGAGCAGCAGTAATTTTGAGAACTTGATAGGATAGAGAGGTTTGCAGTGGCGTACTTTGGTCTCCCATATTGACAATTCCTGATAATTCTTGTCGATTGAAGACACTGATCAGATTTCTTCTTGTCCTTTTCCTGTCATAATGGGAAATGCTACAAATTGTACCATATTCTGAGCTGGAAGGGTAAGCTTTTGATGAATGAAGCATGCTGGAATTCATTGATCCTGGTCTATAATACCTAACAGCCAGCAGGATGAACTTGGAATTTGAGGTTATTTAAGAGGATAAAAAGGAGCGCAACAGCTTCATTGCAGTATTACAGGACATGCCATGTTGGCTATACATGGGAAGGTGGCTACTTGTTTGAGAGAAGAGTAGCTCTTTTGTCACACTTTACTGGGTCCAGCGCAAGTGAGGGAGTGTTAGACTTCCTAAAGGACATAATTTTAACAAATGTCTTTTATGGCTTAGAAAACAGCTTTGTGCTGATTTTCTGACAGAGCCTGTGTTGTGTATGTAACACTTTAAGCATTTATGAGGATTCAGTTACGTTGCTAACTGTGCCATGACCCAAAGATACACTCAGCTGTTGTGGTTGTATTTGGCTATGTGGGTAGAGTTTCTGTCAAAGGGCTTGAAGTGAAGAACTGAAGAGAAGAATAATTCTTACGATATTTTGTATATGTGGCTAAAGAGCATCCTTCTATAAAACAAAGCTGTCAGTATATCAGACCCAGCAGGTGCCTGATCTATTCCTGCTGCAAAGAAAGCTTTTCAAAACTCATCTGGTTAGAAGACTTTAGAAGCAAATGGAGCAAATGGCAGTTAATCTGCTTTAATTTTATTTCTAATTGAACACTTTCTTAAATCACACTTCCTTTGAAGAATATTTTGTTTGCCATTCATTGTTTGTGGCTTTTTCTCAGGTGTTTCAATTAAGAAAGAGAAAAAGAGATTTTTGTCACCCAAAAAATGCAACTCTTTCTTTTATATAAGCATGCATAGGTCTGAGAAATACAGAGCATATCTCCAATTCACTTGATTAACTACTGAATTCCTTCGTCCCTGCAGTAAATTGGAGTGCTTGCTATGTGATGTTTGTCCCTTCTGTGCCTATGCTTTCCACCTTCCAGTTGTGCCACTGGGATGCTCCTTGCTGAAGGACTTGCCATCAGCCTGGCATCCAGAGATTGTTTTAACCACAGATTGTTCTTTGCAAATCAGTACAAACAAACAACAATTGTCACACATCTCTGACCTTCACCAGGCTCTTGGGATCACCTGCAGTCTTTGGAGCTGTGACTTAGACAGTCCGGCACTGTTCTCCAGACCAGCAGATGACCTGCCTACCAAAGAGAGCTCTTGATGGTAACATTCCTTCCCCAGTGGACAGACTACATGGAGGAACTGTGCTAGGAAATAGTCTCCTATGCTAGAGTGTGATGAAAACGTAAAAAAAAACTTGTGAGAGTACTTGAACTTTGAACGA